GTGTGTTATCTGTTTGTGTATAGACGAAAATTCGATTTTGGTGTGTTTGTTATACAAAATACAAAAATAACTTGTGTGGTACAGTTTTTGTAAGGTCACAGTACCACCTTTTCATACACTTGGGGACCTTAATATTACCAACTGGGGGAACCCGTCCGTTATTGGGAGTTGTTGCAAAGGATATCAATGGTTTAGTTCTGGACGTGTATTTTGCCAAGTCCCTCCTTAAAAACCTGGTAAGGAGAAATTGTTTGCGCAAAGTCAAGTCGTTATAGAACCCTACAGACACACAACTTAGCGAGAGAACTCCAGTAACTTTTTTTTTTTTGTGTCATTGGAAAAAAACCGTACGGTTTCAAAACGGTGGCCGGAAGGCTTCAAACGACGGCCTCGGATTCTTTGAGTGCCGCCAGTATTACCGAATCTACGGGAAGTGCTACAGGCTAACAACGATGCTATCTCGACTAAAAATTTAAAGGAATACACAACAGGTAGCCCAACAAAATAACGGTTGTTTAGTACATTTGTATAATACATTTATTGGGTTAAACACAAGACACTTTGACCTTTTCCTATATATAAATAAAACTTCCGCTTGCAACTGGTCCTTCAACAACAACGATACCCTTTGTTGTAATGCCTCCCTTTTGCATTAATAGAAATGTAATTTCTGCTAATTTCATCTTGTTGTCGAGCCTTTTTATAGTCATGCATAAGTAATTATGAAATTGGTATCTCCTTCTCCCCTGTTACTTTGCAACAATACAACGCAACAAGTCGGACCTGTTGTATATAATCGATTGTTACTGTAATAACAAGATAAAATTATTTTCCCTCCAGTTCCATGAAAAATTTTGTCGACGACAATACCCCATTGAAAAATGACTATGTTAGGTTTCGTGGAGAAAATGAAGTGAAACTTCTAATTTCATCAAATCAGTCATGAAAGATGACCACATTCCTACAAAATATGAAACGGTAGACACCAGAAAATCATAGAAAATCATAGGAGAAGTTCCGTGAAGTGGAATGGCTAAGAGACTACGTTCCTCAATGGCCTATGTTTCTACAAGTTTGCAAATTATTAGAACAGAACATGATTCGACTATTAGGAGGACTTGGAATTGAATTCTACTAAAAACAACCGTTCTTATATTAAAAGACGTCGGAATGTCGAGAGAGTTTTTGTCGGGACAGTGCGGGGGACGAATTTGACGTCGTTTCTAAATACGGACACTTTCACGTCTGTTATAAAGGAAGATCGCGTTTGGTTTTGGAACAGAAAATAGGTTTCTTGTCAACTCACGCGAGGGACCTCGTAAGAACGTCCTGTCGTCCTGTCTCTCCCGTCTGTTGGTGTTTCTCTGAGTTCGTCGTTCTTTTTCCAGGACTCAAGAGTCCAACAGGCACGTTACAATTTTATTTTCGTGACTTTTAGATCAGAACACATTTTATGACCAATTTATGCAGAAATCCAGGTAGTTCCAAAGGGTTCACATACTTTTTCTTGCAACTGTATCTGTTTCTTTCTCAGAGCGGTAAGTCTGTAGACGATGATATCTTAACAACAACAAAATAAATAGAGTAAAAGGTCACAAGAGAATCATCGGCTCAGTACAGGACAGTTTATGCAGCTGGTAAATAAACCTAGAACATATTGATATTCACAAGCCAAGCATCAGAGATACCTGTAAGGAAAGGTGCTGCAGAGTTACTGAAGTTACTAAAATAAAAGTATCTGTAGTTCAGAGTTAGTAGAGAAGTACTGCCACTAAACTACACAAAGAGAGACCCATCACTTCCTGCATAAGTTATGTTGTGGTCTGTCTGACCTCTCTCTCCTCTGTCCTGAAGAAATGCTCCAGGGAGAGCACTGTCCTTTTGGATCAAATAGAAGTATTTTGAACGTGACCATACCTCAGGCACAAGAAGGAAATACTGTTTGCAACTTTGCAAGTTAGTTGTTTCGAGAGTCAAAAGCAGGTGGGAGAAGCAGGGCTGTTGTTGGCTATGCTGAAGTCTGAGCAAATGATTTACAGTTAGGGTTATAGAAGGATGTTCGGCTCAGTACAGTACAGTTCATGCTGCCAGTGATTAAAACTAGAACTTCATTGGTATCCACATGCCAAGCATCAGAGATATTGGTGAGGTGGGGGGCCTGTGAAGGGTTAATAAAGTCATTACAAGAAGGGGTGGGAGAAGTACCAGAGTGTAGGATTACTCTGTTACATGCAAGTAAAAGTCCTGTATTCAAAATGTTACTAAAGTAGAAGTACACAAGTATTAGCATCAAAATATACTTAGAGTAGGGCTGCTCGATTATGGCAAAAATCATAATCTGGATTATTTGGGTCAATAATTGATATCACGATTATTAAAAACGATTATCCATTTACTTTGAAAACATCACATTTATTGGAGAACAAAAATGTGAACAGTATGTTTTTAACAGTTGATTACCCTGAACTTTAAGTATAACTCAACTGAAAAACCAATAAAAGAATTAAAAAAAAAAAAAAAAAATTAATAATAATAAAATAATCGTTTTATTTTTGATTACGTTGTTTTCGTAATCGTTGCAAGCCATGGTCGTCATTGCGATTAAAATACGATTAATTGAGCAGCCCTAATTTAGAGAACCAAAGTAAAAGTAGTCATTGTGCAGATTGGTCCATTTCAGAATAATATATATGATATGTTTTATAATGATTGATCATTAAAGTGTTCTCAAAGCTGGTAAAGGTGCAGCTAGTTTGAATGACTTTGTATACTGCAGGGTAGCTGGTGGATTTACTCCAGGTGGAAGTAAAGTCTGATTTAACACTTGATTATATTTCACATCATTCATCCACATCTGAGAAGGAACTAAAGGTATTAAATACATGTAGTGGAGGAAAAGTACACCATTTACCTCTGAACTGTAGTGGAGTAGAAGTACAAGGTAGCAAAACATTGAAATACTCTAGTAAGGTACAAGTATCTAAACCTTCTACTTGAGCAAATGTATTTAGTTACTTTACACCTCTGGATTACACAAAGAGAGACCCTTTGCTTTATAGTGTTTTTATGGTCTGTCTGTACTCCGTCCTGCTGTCCTCAAGAAAATACTCTAGGGAGAGCACTCGATTATTTTGTACAAAAACGTGTTTTTAACATGTCGTTTCCATGTTGCTTCTTGCGTGATCACATGTTCTCTCTCCTCTGAGCTGCTGTCCTGTAGAAATGCTCCAAGGACAATTTTCACTGCCTCTTGTTTTGAATAGAAATGTATTTGAACGTGTCCTCACCTTGGGCTCCAGAAGGAAATGTTGTTTAGAAAAATGGTAAGTTAATTGTGTCTGCAGTCAAACACAGGCGGGGGTGGAGGCAGGGCTTTTTAATGGTGTCCGTGCCTCCCTGGCTGCCCTTGGCATTAGACGCAGACCTTTATTACCCCGCAGGAAGCCGCTTCATTGCAGTCAAAACTTGTATTTCTTCCCCTGTCTTTGCTTATTTTCAAAGATTACCAAAGAGAGTTCAGGGGCTCGTGATGTAACACTTCTTAAATGAGCCGGGACGCCAGTCAGGCACATCTTCCGCAAACTATTTACTTATTTTTTCGACTGCAAATGAAGGGAACATTTGTTTTTCTTGTTGTTTTTATATAAATGAACTTTATTGACAATACATCCTGACACTACGGGATATCGCCTCGGATTAATTGGAAGTTGGGAGAGAAATGTGGAAGAGATCAATGACACCGGGCGACGTCATCCCTGTAACCATGGGTTACGGCTGCTGCTGCTGCTGCTGCTGTTATTTCTGTGTAACTATTTCTGTAGAAACATTAATAATCTCTGGTGTCTGTGGCGGCTCAGTGAGTCATCGGAGGCGGTGTCACTGCTGAAGAATCACCGAGCAGGACTCATAAAAGAGTGAGTAAAGATAGACCATTAGGAACATCTCGCTAACAAGATAAAAACTGATTTCCCTGACATTCTGTAAAGGAAGCAAAGGCCGCCGTGCAGAAGGAAGTGAGACACAAAGCAGAAGAAGTCGATAACAACACAGAGATATACATA